TCACTCCCCAAGTAAGCCTCACTAGGGCCCTCACTCCCCAAGACAGGCCCTCACTCCCCAGTAAGGGGCCCTTACTAGGGCCCTCACTTCGCAAGAGGGGCTTTCACTCCTCAAGAGGGGCCCTCGCTCCCGCCCTCACTAGGGCCCTCACTCCCCAGTAAAGGGCCCTCACTCCCCAAAAAAGGCCCTCACAGCGGGCCCTCACTCCCCAGTAGGGGCCCTCACTAGGGCCCTCACTCCCCAAGAGGGGCCCTCACTAGGGCCCTCACTCCCCAGTAAACTCCCCAAGAGGGGCCCTCACTAGGGCCCTCACTCCCAGTAAACTCCCCAAAAGGGGCCCTCACTGGGGCCCTCACTCCAGTAAAGGGGCCCTCACTCCCTCACTCCCCAGTAAGGGGCCCTCACTCCCCAGTAAGGGGGCTTACTGGGGCCCTCACTCCCCAGTAAGGGGGCTTACTAGGGCCCTCACTCCCCGTGAGGACCCCTCACTAGGGCCCTCACTCCGCAAGAGGGGCCCTCACTCCCCAACAAAACCCTCACTCCCCAGTAAGGGGCACAGGGCCCTCACTCCCCAAGAAGGGCCCTCACTCCCCGGACTCTTACTCTGCAGGGCGTCGCGTCGTCGTCGTCGTCGTCGTCGTCGTCGTCGTCGTCGTCGCCTTGTCGTCGCGTCGTCGTCGTCGTCCTCGCGGCGTCCCCGCATCGTCGCAGCCCCTCACTCTCCCCGAAGTCCCAGGTGCTGTGCGAGGTGCCCTCTGGTGGGGTGTGGTGGGCGGGCGCTCGGGGAGGCGGGGCGCTGTGCTCCAACAGGGCGGCGCATGTGGGCTTGGGGCGCTGGGGCGGTGGGCGTCAAACACAACACACGCATAAACACACAGCAGCAGGCAAAACTCTTGCGATGGGATCGGCTTTACTGTAGGATCCAGGCCCGTTGAGTGCGAAAGAGGATGATGAGGACCTAAGCAAGCGTGGAGTGGGAAACTGTAAGATCAGAGGGGCTACAAGCGATGTTGCGGAACATGCGAACTTTTCTGATGCCTCCGCGGCCGTGCTGGACAAGCAGGCTCAACATAGAAACATGCAGTTTCGTGCGGCCACTGGCCGCTGTGGCAGTGAGACACTGATCAGCGCTAGGGGCCAGAACGATGAGTGGCGTCTAACTGCAGCGTCAATCTTGTCGAAGTGTGTGGCATCAATCGGGCCCTTGATCGCTGGTGCTCTTTCGGTAGCGACTGCTGTAGCTGGACACGCAGGCGCCGCCGCTGCGGTGCACAGTGAGACACTGATCAGCGCCAAGGGCCGCTATGTGGCACAGGCTCCCTCATCGCGGACACTGCACACGCTGCTGTTTCGGTAGCAGGCATGGCCTAGACCTGGTGTGGCTGGAAGTAGCGAAACCTTGAAAGCTGTACTCTAGTTCACTACAGCAGTGACCTAGTTCGCTACTGCTGCGAATCTAAGCACACCACTTGCAGCAAAAAGGACCACACCGAAGATTTGCCTCAACATGTGAAACTGAGAGACCGTGCAAAAGGATGTGCAGAGTTGGATGGCGCCTGCGCAGCACTGATGCTCCGA